TTCCAACAGAAAATTGTCAAAATATACCCAAAAGTGTTGTTTCTCTATATAAACTATAGTAAACTTTACCCCCTCCCCAAGGGAGAACGGATAGCTCGGGGGTCCTGAAATTTACAATTTTAATAAAGCCCCTGATGATCTTTCTATCCATGCAGAGAAAATGACTGTAATACCTCTGAGTCTGGAGAAGAAGATTTTTGAAATATTGGTTAATTTTCCCTTTTGAGCCCCGCCCTGGCCCCTAGGGTTGGGGTAGGAATCCCAATTTTACAATTTGGTATCCTCATCTACCAAGGATGATTCTGACCAAGTTTGAAAAAATTCCATCAACTGGTTCTTGAGAAGACGTTGATTATGTACAAGTTTACGCACGACGGATGACGGACGACGGACGACGACGGACGGAAAGTGATTGGAATAGGTCACTTGAGCAAAGCTCAGGTGACCTAAAAAAGGTAAATATACACAGAAAAAATTAATTAAATAAGAATTCCTCGGGAGTGGATGTGTCGCCTGCTCAGCGTTTTGGCTTGAGTTATCACGTAAACAGATATGCCAAAATGCAGAAACTTAAAACTCGACAGAAAAACACGTAATATATGTTGAACATTATTGCTTCTAGCATTACCGTAAAAAATTTGAAAGGAATTGATTAAAAAGTTCAAAAGTTCTTGCATTTGCTACACAATGCCCTTATTTAGCAATAAAAGGGGCATTACTCCACCAAAATGCACGTTAACTTCTGAAATGCGAACGTGTCTGAGCTATATTGGTATGCAATATGTGTACCAAGTTTGAGTTCAATCAACCCAAGGGAACTCAAGTTATCGCACGGACACTTAGTTTCAGACGACGCAACTGACGCCGAATACAAAGTAATACCTATATGTCGACGGCGACGCAAAAAAAATGAAATGGTCTTGATCTTACAAAAAAAATCCCACAAAAATCTAACTAATTGCGCACAATCCTTACCTTTCCAAAGCTTTTCTAATTGTAATACAACTAAAGTATTCATTTGGTAATAACAAAAGTTTGGTAGAACATAAACAGTGTTGGCCTCCTACAGGTCGGGAGAGATTCTCAACCGAGAACAATACTTCTCTGTAATTCAATTGTAATTATAAACCGCTACTTGAGATATGTGTACTTTCTGAAATTTCTCTACAGTCAGCTTTAATATCTAAAGATAAGAAGCCAGCACTTCAGATAATTTGAAACTTATGATACCGGGTCTTTTCTTCTAAGAAGTATTTTCTTAGACTACGATGACAACCCATGGTGCAAGACTTGATATGAAAATGTTCAAAAATATATCATTAAGCTTCGGGGAAAATGAAGAAATCTGTATGATAAGTACATCGGCATTAACGTTTAAGTAGAACCACGCCTTTTGTGCCGATATAATCCTGGTCGCAGCACCAAAGATAATATCTCCATCAAAACCACAAGATGCAAGAAAAAAACTTAAATTAAAAACAAAATCCTATCTGATAGTATTTTATTTGAAATAATTCCATTTAAATTACTTATCACTGTAACAGAAATGCTCGAGTCTGTAAAACTCAGGATCACATAACGCACAAGCTTTGAGACGAATATCTTTGTGTATATATCGCACATAGCGTGTTACAATATCATTGGCAAAATTGTATCTGACACACTGAATTTCTCGACACAAATATTTCTATCAAAGTCAGGAAGTTTCAACTTGTACATTGACTGAGTAATATATTAGTTTTGGGTTTACACAACAGATATAGTATCTCTGCAGTGTTGGGTTTACATTCTAGTTTATATCAAGTAATTATGATATCATTAACAGATCAGTAGTAAAACATATCAAATACCACTATTGCAAATCATATAAAATTACTTCTACAATTAAAACGTTTTAACCCATTGACATATTTTTTTTTACTGTACAGCCAAGTCTCCTTAATCAAGCTATCACTAATCCAGTTGTCCCACTATCCAGCTATCACTAATCCAGTTGTCCCACTATCCAGCTACCACTAATCTAGTTGTCCCACTATCCAGCCACTATTAATCCAGTTGTCCCATTATCCAGCCATCACTAATCTGGTTGTCCCATTATCCAGCCATCACTAATCTGGTTGTCTCATTATCCAGATTTTCTACAGATAATTGTTTCAGCCACCTAGATGTCTCACAATCAAGCAACTTCTGCTGGGATCCAATTTGACTAATAATAAAGGACCCCCTACAAAACTCTGACACAGTGTTCAGTAGTAGTAGATATTCATAACGTGTCCTAGTTTACACATCCTTCCGAAATATCTGTGAAAACTATAATCCAGTACTGATAACTCATCATTCACAAAATACGTTAATTAAAGGCTTTTTACCGTTTTGAATCCCTTTAAAGTCATATCTTATTTAATTTTAAACCAGACCTAAATCACTTAAAGCCTTCTCTCTGAAGAAATATCCTTACTTTATCTGTGGGATAGCAACACTTCGACATAAGGTGCCATAAAAAAAGGCTCACTCTACCAAAAACCCTTGTTGCTGTAGACTTATAAAGTTGTAAGTAATGAAAAGACAATTTCATCCAATAGATCATCAAAAAACAATGTGGAATCAAGAGGTTGAAGTTAATTTTTCACAGGTATTTTAATTTGTTTGAACTTTTAAAATGAATGAGAAGATAAGGTGGTAAGTGCTGGATCAACTGTGGTTGAGGATTTTATTAATGGTTCATTAAAATGTTAATGATAGCGCTCACATTTTAATTGATTCCTGATATTTTTATGTAAAACTTCTCAGAAGCTTGATATATTTGAGGCTTTTATAAGAAATCTAGACTTTACTGTCAGTAATCTTCACTTAAACACAGGGCCCTGTAACCTTCACTTAAACACAGGCCCCTGTAACCTTCACTTAAACACAGGGCCCTGTAACCTTCACTTAAACACAGGTCCCTGTAACCTTCACTTAAACACAGGGCCCTGTAACCTTCACTTAAACACAAAGCCCTGTAACTTTCACTTAAACAGAGGTCCTGTAATCTTCGCTTAAACACAAAGCCCTGTAACTTTCACTTAAACACAGGGCCCTGTAACCTTCACATAAACTCAGGGCCTTAGTTGTTCACTACACTTAAAGATCTATGCATCCTTACAGTGACAAGCAGAAGAGCTCCAAATGAAGAAGAAATACCTTCTTTCAATAGAGTTAATTAATGACATGCACAATAAATTACGAGTATAACATGTAAATAAGCATTATATCCTTGACAATTCAGTTGTGTGACACTTACACAAGCGTCAGTTGTATTGTGTAAGGAAGCATAGGTTCTAAGATAATGGGAAACACAGGAAGAAAAAACACCAGACTTACGCTTTGAAGAACTGGAAGCCATGGACACAGACAAGAATGTTACCAAAGTAGTCCACTTTAAGCATGTTTCCATAATGGGTGTCGTACCACAGGCCCCTGTAACACAAAGTTTTTATTTTACTACCATAGATATTTGGAAATTCAGTGAATCCTCTGTAAAGTAATACCTGTTTAAAAAGGGCACCACTGTATCGTAAATACCCGTCTTTAAAGGTAAACTCTTTTTATACCTTTTTATAGTAAATACCTGTCTATAAAGGGCACCACTGTATCGTAAATACCTGTCTATAAAGGTGACCTCTGTATAGTAAATTCCTGTCTATTAAGGTCACCTCTGTATAGTACAAACCTGTATATAAAGGTCAATCCTGTGTAGTACATACCTGTCTATAAAGGTCACATCTGTATAGTAAATTCCTGTCTATTAAAGTCACCTCTGTATAGTAATAACCTGTATAACAAGAGGCCCATTGGGCCTGCATCGCTCACCTGTTATTAATCTAACACTTGTAATCTTAAGATTTTATAAGAACCTATTAAAAGATTTAAACATATGACACCTCTGACCTTGATTGTCGAACAAGGATATTAGGTTGAAAGTGGATCAAGGTCATTCATTTGAACTAACATGGTAATCCTTCATCCCAGCATGCTACAGGCCCAATATCAGTACCCTGGGCCTTTTGCTTATTGAAAAGAAGTCACTTGAAGATTTTACGACATTTGACCCCTGTGACCTTGAAAGTTGGTCAAGGTCATTCAGTTGAACAAACTTGATAGTCCTTCATCCCAGCATGCTACAGGCCCAATATCAGTACCCTGGGCCTTTTGGTTATTGA